ATGTCTCAGGTGAAGATTCCCCACATGATAAAGCCAGCGTCACAACTTCACATCTGTGTTCTCCCTCAGCAAGCAGGGCTGCAGAGAGAGAGAGAGAGAGTGGGGCTGGGGGTGGAGAGAGATCTCCATGGAAGGGAGGATGGCATCAGAGATATATGAAAGGAAATGCAGAGAAGTGGCCAGAAGAAGATAGCCTCCCTGAGATGACAGGAGTAGTAAATCTGAGAACCTGGAGAGGGCTGGGATGAGGCCCTTTGGTGATTTGGAGGCAAGCTTGTCATGAGCTGGAACAGAATTACAGCAAGGTTGCCATAAAGGAGCCGCACCAGGAAGGACCCCAACAATCACACCCATAAACCCTAGCAGGTCTGCTGTAACTATGATGAGCTGGCTGCAGCAGCGGCCAGAGGCCACTTGGGAGCCATAGCACCTGTGTTTGCCAACAGACACAGGCAGCTCTTGGGGTGCGGTTCTGGATGCTGAGGGCAGCTCAGCCTCCCGGGCTCTCAGCTTCCCACTGAAGTGGACGAACAGGGGAGAGAAGCTGGGCTTTGGAGCAGCAGCTGGGCCTGTGGCTATGCCCCCTGTGAGGGGCACAAAGGGGCATGGTGGTTTTTCGCTGTGCTCTCTGCCCTACTTGGTCTCAAGTTTAACAAGAAGAGCCTAGCTTCTCTCACCCCAAAATTTAAAGGAGCAGCCCAAAACTATGGAATCATATGTAATAGTAAGATGTCATTTTTAAAAAAAAGTTAATGTGAAAAAAAAACCCCTACTCTGAACACAATAGGATTTGAAGTGAAGACAAGATTGGTTACAGTTTTGTGCTGAGCCATATTGGAGCCTTAGGCAAAGGAAAAAAACAGTACTACTGATCCTGTTTTAAATTTTTGATATTTTATTCTTCATGGGTTTCTTTTCCCCATTAGTTTTGATATTTAAAAAAATTATGCTGCCTTCAAATAAGATTTGATTACTGAGATGTTGGTTCCTCCTTAAATCATACACCAAGTCAGGACCTGATTCACTTCATCCTAGTCTCAACTCTGAGGTTACAAATGACACTAGAGTCAAAGACCTCAAAGTGGTGTTGAAGGGCACCTAGGTGAATTCCAGCAGTGTGCCTTACAGCCTGACCTCTTCTCTGTAATGCTCAGAGCTGCAGTTGGTGGTGGCTAAGAACCCAGGTTCCGGCTGGAGTCAAGCTGTCCTAGATTTAAATCCTGATTCTACCTTTTTTTTTTTTTTTGCTGTGACCTTGGGCAAGCTGCAACTCCTCTCTGAACATCACTATGTTAACATACTGTATTCATATCCATAGTCACAGAGTGAAGGACAGAGTAGAACTATTCTATTGGGTTTTCAATTCTGTAATCTTTCCTGAAGCCGATGGCCACCCATCTTTCTCCCATGGAGCATCTTTGGGCTTGAATCACAGTCCTTTAGGTTAGCTGAGTGTTTAACTATCATGTAGGGAGGTAATACTAATCAGCCCCCTACTCCTAGCCTTGGGGTGAGCATCACGAGATGAGAGGTGACAAAGAGTGTGCTGGCGGGTCTGAAATATGGAAGTGCCCCATAGTTGAAGTAATTCAAGCTAAAACAGCTCACCAGTGCCTACTGCAGCTGGCAACAGTAGGAGTGGAATGCAGAATTGCTTGTATATACCTTGAAAAAGGCAGAGGTTGCTGAAGGCTTGACCTCATGGAGGAGAGGAGATTTGAACTAGGGTTTGAAAAGAAGGTGGGTTTGGAGGGCTGGAGAACAGGCAATGGAGGTGGAATTCTGGGCTAGAGGTTGAGAGGTGGGAATGTGAGAAAATTGTAAGCAGATTCAGAAAAGGACAATGGGATCATCAGGCCAAGGGGTCCTGAGTGTCAGGCCACGCTATCAGAAGATCCATTGAAAGCTTCCAGGCTAAGGCTTCAAAAGTACCTCATGCATTTATTCATGTGTTCATTATTCTTTCTACAATTCCTACCTGACATTATCCAAGGCATTAGGGGTAGACAGCACAGAAGTGGGAGGAACTTATCCTTTAAGAGTGGAAGGCAGACAGTAAGGATAAGTGGAATGGATAGGATGTTAGATAACAGCATTTCTAAAGTGAAAAACAATGCAAAGGGCCAGGCTGGGAATGTCAGAAGGTAGACTGGGCAAGGTAAAATAACATTGTGCTCTGGTGGCCTTCTGGTACTACCAACCTGAACATACAACGGTTCGAATTCACCAGCTGCTCTGTGGGAGAAAGATGGGCAGTCTCCTCCCTTGTGATTTACTGCCTCTGAAAACCTGCTGGAGGATCAGCTATGGGTTCTAACTCAAATGGTACATAATGGGCAGCACTCAACAAGGTCCTTGACTGAAGGAAGGCAGCTTGCCTCCTCAAGCAGCAGGTCATAGAGATGAGACAAATACTGGATGGTAGGCCCCAGGAACACCCTGGACATAAATTTTCTCAATTTCTTGCTACAGCCTACAAACTAGTACCATGCTTTTTGCCCACATGGCAGGTAAGGAAACTGAAGTTATAGGAAGTAGGTGAGTCAAGATTTTTAACTTGACTCAGCCCAACTTTTATAAAGTCTGGGCTCTTGAACAACCAACCGCCTTATTCTCTGATGGTCCTGAGAGACAAACATGTCAGACATCTCATTAATTATAGGTAGACGAAGGAGCAAGAAGGCAATATCAAGAGTCAAGGAAGTAGCCTATTCCCTTTTAGAGTTCATACAGCAGCGAGAGCTCTGGGCTAGACATTTCTGTATTCCCTAGTACAAAGCAATGAGGACTCACATAGCAGGTGCTGGCCTTGTGTGGCTAACTCTCTGCAACTCTTTAGTAACGTTGTGGGACTGCCAAGCTCTCCAGGGATGTAGCCTCTGCTAGTGGCCCCAAGAGCCCCTGAGAGCAAAACTGACGTGGTCCTTGATCCTAGCAACTTGTGACATGCACGCCAGGAATGTCATGAGAGGAGCTGTAATAAGCTATCCAAAGTGATCACCCCCTGAACGAAAGTCACTGCAGCCAAATTAGTCTGGATGAAAGGCATGGAGTGCAGGCACTTCTCTATCTGGAGGAAGACAGAGGAAAAAATGATTACCCGATAGGTTTTGGGCTCTAATTGATTTGTATTTTTCCAGACTGCTAAAGAAGATTAAATCATGGTATGAAAAGTGCCTAGGGCTTAAAATAAATGAGGAGAAAGGCAAGCCACTTCAGAAATGTCCAGGATGCAAACTGCACCTCTCCAGTGCAAATTGCAGGCTTGGTTGTTGTATTCTTTGTTCCAGGGGAGGCAGCTGTCTTTACAGTTGCATTTGACAAGCTACCAAGGTGTACACACTTTGAGGAAGCGGTTGGTGAAGGGAGGGGTAGAACTGCAGCCTTTCTTTTACTTTTGGAAGTCGAATGTCTCTGAGCTGGTGGAAAAGGCTTGGTCTGAGAGTCGGAACACTTATTTCTAGCTCTGGCTCTGTCTTTGACCTGCTGATTAACCCTGGCCAAGGTTCTTCCCTTTCTCAGGTGTTATTTTGGATGAGAAGACTCTTAAAGGGGTCTACAGTTCCACGAGCAACAGCAGATGAGAAGAGGGGCTCAGGAAAGGACAGTGCCCAAAGTCACCTAGCCAACTCTATGCACTTCTATGAGCCTCCTAAGTTTTTGTCTGTAAAATGAGAGTAAAGGTGCTTATTTCACAGGGTGACGACAAAGGATTAATGAGATAACTAATAGTGGTCTTCATGAATTGTATGCTTACTACATTCCAGTCACTAACCAATACATCAGTTATATAAGCTCATGGAATTCTTCAATAAACTGCATTTCATAAGGGAGGGAAGTAAGGAAGGCACAGAGCAATTAAATGGTTTGCCAAAACTCACATAGTTAATTAGAACTGGCACCAGGATTTGAACTAGAAGCTGTCTACTGTTGTAACTACTATACCACATACTTCTATAATGTACAGTTCTCGTGAGAACCAGGAATAAGAGTTTAAGAAATGGTGGCAGCCATGGCCGGGAGCTGCCAATACAGTGCTGCATCCAATACCAGGGAATCAGCATTCCTAGCAAAGCTTCCTTCTCTTTCTTGAGACAGCCATCGCAAGCCCTCCCTCTTCCGCCCGTATCCTGCCCTACCTCACGGTCTGGAGTGGAGCCGGTCCGCTCTGCCCCTAGGGGCCCAGCGCGCTTTAACTTTGCTTGTTCTAGAGCAGCCCTCGCCTTAAAGAGCGCCCAGAGGCTGGAGTTAGTGGGAGTGCCTGAGACCCAAGAGGGGCAGGGTGTGCCCATCTCAGCACTGGGGGGTGGGGCCGCGGACCCGATTGTTACTGCAAGTGCCCAGGCAATCAGATCACGTGGCAGTGCTATCCCCGCCCCGGAGCCAGTGGTTACCTGGGGAATTAAGATTCCGGGGTGGGGGTGGGGGGCTGTTTCTCCAGAAACCTAGACTTTCGGTCATCTTTGTGGATGCACCTTCCTATTCATATGACTTTCCCCACACCTAATCCAGCCCCTTTATTTTACAAATGAGGAAACTGAGGCTTGGAGAAGGCCAGGTTTAGCCCACGAAATTTCGGCCCTCCCCCTGGGTGCGTGGAGGAACCAGAAGCTAGATCCTGCGTCCTTTTTTGGTTTTATGTGTGCACAGGAGAGGAGGGGTGTGTGCTAACTGAGGCATTGTCTTAAGTTTAAGCCCTCCCCAAGAGGACAACTCAGATCCTAAAAGGCTGCAGCAGGAAGCGACCCGAATGTGGCCCTTCTGAGATACACAGAATCAAGACCCAGAAAAGAGGAGGGGGAAATTGCCCAAGGCCACCGAACTCGTTGACGGGAGAGTTCGGGATACAGGGAGCAAAAGCACAAGCAGCCGGGTGGGGACCAGAAAGGGAGCAGGGACTCTCCAGGGGCGGAGCCGTGGCGCGTGGTGATGACGCGAGTGCGGGGCTCCGCGGCCTTAGCGACAGCGGTTGCTAGGGAGCCCAACTCTGCGTGCTCGCCATGGATGCTGCTACGGCTCCGCACCGCATCCCCCCGGAAATGCCTGCGTACGGGGAGACGAACCACATCTTCGAAATGATGCAGGTGACGCGGGCAGCCCTGCCTTGTCACGACCCCACCATCGCGATGTCAGGGTGTGCGGTGGCGCGCTCGTGTGTTAGTCTCCTGGCCGACCCACTTGTTTGATTACTGTGCTACCCTGACCCTGAGTTATTCTTCGTTCTGGAGATGCTCCTTGTCCCTTCCTACGTTTGCATCCTTGAATCCCAGGAAGACGCAAAGTAGGCAGGCCCTTTTAGTGCACAACGGATAGGACTGCTAATCGTAAATTAGGCAGTTCGAATCCACCAGCTCAGCAAACGAAAGATGAGCAGAATCCTTCCATAAAGATTTACAGCTTCGGAAACCCAATGGAGGGTCGCTATGAGTATCGGCCGTGACTTGGTTTTGTCTGCCATAAGCTATCACTATTCTGAACAACTTTTGTTTTCTGGTTCTCAGTTTCTGTTTATGAGAAATGAGAGGTTACAAGAAATCTGCAAGGGCTCACCTAGCGTTGACAACTGGCAGGCTTTCTGCAGTTTTGGGAACCTCGGACCTTTGATCCAGGGCTGCCCAGTGCAGGGTGGCTAACAAACGAGTGGTTTCAACAGTAAGGACCACGAAATTGGGGCCGTTCCACGAATTTGGGGCAGTTCCAAAGCTCTCTCTTCATCCTGGGTTCCAGACTTGAGAAGATGCCCACCTCACTGTGTACTTTAAGGCTGAGGCACTGAATAAGAAGAGCTTTCAGGCACCCAAAAGTTCGGAGGGCCACAAGGAAGCTAAGGTTCAGTTTCCAGAACACCTATCCTTCTCAGGGTTCCTCTTGTCCCCAGAGGCACACTTGTGAATATGTGTATGGTCATTTATGCCTCAAATTTTTAACCTAGGCATTTAAGACCAGGCTTAAGACTAAAAAACTGGTTTCTTTGTTAGAAGAAGGAGAAAATGAGAAAATTCCCAAAACTGGGTAGCTTATTATTGTTAAGTACCATGGAGTCAGAGCTGGCCCTTCAGTGGATATTCAGTGTCAGTAAATCTCAGGGGAGAAGATTGTCCATCTTGTCCCAGAGAGGCTGGTGGATTTGAACCTTTTGCCTTTGGGTTGGCAGTACAACTGCTTACCACTAAACCACCAGCACTTTCCTTTGTGTAGCTAGTCATAGATAAGCACAATAGCCAGCTGAGTGAGTTAGAAGTTGGTGATGGTGGCAGTAGTGAGAACACTGGGACCATTTGGTCTATTCTAGAATCCACAGCAATTCTTGAGTGAGAGAAACCTGTCCCAAACCACCCTTTCCTCCAATATTACCACTCTGTAGTTGCTTGCATACTTTATAGTTTTAATTTCTTAAAGTACTTTTTATTTTAAAATAATTTTAGATACACAAAGTTACAAAAACAATAGAGTTCTGGTCTCTCCTTCATGTAGCTTTCTCCAGTATTAAAATAAAACTGTAGTATTTGTCAAATCAGGGTATTGATATTTGTACAATAATATATCGTTAACCAGGCTGTAGGCCTTATTTTTATTTTTAAAAATACTAGTTTACAAAATTCTAATACATTTTTTTTCAGACCAGAGTCTTTCAGCTTCTCTCACCTCCCCACTCATCAAATTCTACAACCACATGATTAATCCCTCCCTCTCCCTGCACATCCTCATCTCTCTGCTTCCACCCTCCCCCTCTTTGGATCTTCATACTAATTCTACAGTAATGGTTTTACACAATATTTATCCTTGTGAGACTGAGTTAACTCACTCAGCATAATGCCTTCCAGTCCCTCCCAAGTTAGTTAATAATTTACAAAATCATTGCTCCTGCATGCTGCATAGTATTCTGTTGTATAAATGTAATATAATTTCATTAAATATAAATTCGATTGTGGTTGGACATCTGGGCTGTTTCCATGTTCTTGCGACATTGAATAATGCTACTATGAACACTGGTGTACAAGTCTCTGTTTGTGCTTCAGCTCTCATTTTCCTGGGATATATTCCAAGTAGTGGAATAGCTGGGTCATATGGAATTTCTATATTCAGCTTTTTGAGGAAGCACCAAGCTGCCTTCCAGAATGGTTGTGCCTTTTTACAATCCCACCAGCAATGTATAAGAGTTTTATCTCGCCACATCCTCTCCAACTTTATTACTTGCTGTCTTAAACTTTGCCACTGTTACTGGAGTGAGACGGTATCTCATTGTGGTTTTGATTTGCATCTCATTGCCAGTGGTTTTGAGCATTTCTTCCTGTGTCTCTTGGCCATTCAAATATCTTCCTTTGTGAAAATTCTTTCCATGTCTTTTGCCCATTTTGTAATTGGGTTATCAGTCTTTTTCTTGTGAAGGCCCAGGAATATTCTGTAAACTTGCATTATGGGACTCTTGTCTGAGTTGGTATTACCAAATGTTTGTTCCAAGTTGGTAAGTTCTCTTTTCACCCTGATGGAAAAAGTTTTTGATGCACTTAGGGATTTAATCTTTAGACGGTCCCCTTTGTCAATTTTACCCTCTTCAGTTGTGCATTTCTGGTTGTATTTGGCAGTCTCTTCATACTGTAGATAAGGGCTTCTAAACTTGATCCCAGTCTTCCAAACTTGATGGTTTTGGGCTTTACTCCCAGGTCTCTGATCCACCTTGAGTTGATTGTTGTGTATGGTGTGAGATGTGGATCTTGTTTCAGCTTTCTGCAGGTGGAAGTCCAATTTTGCCAGGACCATTTGTTGAAGAGGTTGTCATTTCTCTATTTGATAGCTTTGATTTCCTTATTGAATATCAGTTGACCATAGATAGCTGGGTCTATTTCTGGGTTCTCAATTCTGTTCCATTGGTCTATGTGCCTGTAATTGTACCTTGCTATTCTGGTTACTACTGCTGTGTAGTAGGTTTTGATGTCAGGGAGTGCTGCTATGCCTCCCACCTCATTTTTGTTTCTCAGAAGTGTTTTGCTTATTTGGGGTCTCTTTCCTCTCCAAATAAATCTGACAGTTTTGCTTTCGATCTCCTTGAAAGATAAATTTGGTATCTGGATTTCTTATTTGGATTTTATTAGAAATGCTATCTTTTTAAAAATATGTGCATTGCTCTATTGCATTTTGCCCATGCATAGATTCATGTAAACACATCTCCTTTTTTCTAACTTCATAATTTTTTAAAATAAACTCACTTTTTTGTTTGCATTTAGTTTTGCCTCATCTTAAGCAATATCCTTGAAATCATAGATCTGCTTCACTGTTTATGTTTTCTAATATAATTAAGGTGAATATGTTGTTGCTACGTGCCGTTATATAAGAACTGACTCATAGCTGATTCTCCAGTGAATTTCCAGAGTCTGTAGATCACACAGCAGGAGACTTCCCATCTTTCTCCCATGGAGCAGCTGATGAATTAGAAATGCCTGCTTTTGGGTTGGCAGCACAGCTCCTTACCCAGTAGGCTACCAGAGCTCCCGAAGGTAAATATACAACTATTTAAAAGGGAAATGAAATAGTTCATCTGTAAAGCATTTAAAATAATTTTGTACCATATCACCACTGGTACACAAGGACTGATCTAGTTTCATTTAGCAGGTGGAGAAGCTGAGACCCCGACAGGAATGGCTTGCTGGTAACTTGCAGAGTGGGGCTAGAGCCAGGATGTCTTGCAGTTTAATGCTTTTTTCACTAATCCCACACTTCTTTGCATCAAAAAGGCAAAATCCCCTCCCTGCTTGTTCCTAGGGTAGAAAGTTTCTCCTTTCTAATCCAGTCCAGATCATCCTAAACATTCCAGTAGTTCATTTCTGTGCCATTTGTCTTAGAACCTGCTCTTTCGTGTTGTTGTTGTTGTTATGTTCCATCAAGTCACCTGTGACTCATAATGATCCAATGTACTACAGCTCTGAGCCCTGTCCTATTATGAGCCAATCTTACTGTCCCCAACACACCTTCCCCCACCCCATTATCCCAGTCACTGAGTCAATCCATCTCATCCAGGGTCTTCTCCTGTGTTGTCTCTCCACTCTTCCAAACATAATGTCCTTCTCCAAAGATTGGTCCCTCCTGGCAACATGCCAAGAATATGTGAGATGGAACTTAAAAATCCTTGCTTCCAGAGAGCAATTTGGTTTCACCCTGTCCAGGACAGACCTGTTTGTTCTCTTGGCAGTCCATAATATGTTTAATATTTTTCTCCAGCACCACAACTCAAAGACATTGATTCTTATTCTATCATCTATCATTAGTCATTATCTAGCTCTCTGATGCATAAGAAGTAATGGTGAAGACCATGGCTTGGATCAGGTGCTCCTTGTCTGTAGACTGACATAATTGCTCTTCAGTACTCTGGAAAGGTCCCTGACAGCAGATTTTCCCAATGCAATTCGTCTTTTGATTTCTCTATCACTATGCTGCCAGTTGACCCAGTGGTGAGAATCTTTGTTTTCTTAATGTTGAGCTTCAATCCGTATTGAAGACTGCAGTCCTTGACCTGCAGCAAATGCCTCAGGTCCTCCTCAGTTTCATTAAGTGCGATGGTGACATATGCATAACACAGGTTGTTGGCCAGTCGTCTTCCAATCCTGATGCCACATTCCTCCTCATAGAGAAATGGATTAAATGGTCAGGCTATCCCAGGACGTATTTAGATAGTTAGCTGATAATATCTCTGTCCCATTCCATGTAGATCTCCATGCATTCCAGCAAACCGCTGCACAGGGCAAAGATACTGGAGGATATGGGGGTCTATGGCCTGATAGGGGAGGTGGTAGTTGGGCAAGGACAAGGTGAGGCAAGTAACCAGGGGCATGTGTAGGGGCTTGGGAGCTTAGGACAGGAAAGACATTTACCTAGTACCCATGACCAGGAAGAGCTGTTGCCATGGCTTCCTAAGGACTGAGCACATGTTAGCCAGTAGGAGAATGAGGAAGACTCAAGGTTCTGAGGTGGTAATGAGGACAATCCATCAGGAAAACAGAGGAAGATTTGTTTGGGAGGTACAGAGGGATTTAGAGGAGAAGAGGCTGGGTCACTCACTGCTCCGGGTCAGGACTTCATCACACCAGCTCTATGTGTCTACAGATCCCTCCTGGCAGCACCCACATGGCTTCCTTCATGCCTCTGCTCACAGGGATGCAGAAGTCAGCTGGAGGATGGAGAGGTCTCTCAGCTGAAGGCTTGTTTGATGGGGTGTAGTAGAGAGTTCTTGTGGCCCTGGGATTAAAAGCTGAACTGCAATCCCAATGGCATGCAGTTCTAATCCATCAGCTGCTCCGTAGGAGAAGAATGAACAGTCTCCTCTCATGTGACTTACTGCCTCTGAACATCTGTTGTGAGAGTCAGCTATGCATTGGCTCCTACACAAAGGCACCAAACAGCAATGAGGAGAGCAGGCCCCATAGCTGGTTACCACAGCAGCCAGCATATCAGGCTGCCTGGGCTCCAAGGTAACTATGTACCTATTAACCATGTGAGTGTCTGTTCTATGTCCACAGGTCATGCTGGAGCAACTCTTGATTTACCAGCCCAAGGAACCTATCACCTTCATGATCTGCCACTTGCAGCGTAACAATGATAATGGTGAGCATGTGGTGGGCTTCCTCCTCCCCCTGCCCTGAATCTGAGAAAGGCTGTGACTGCTCTGCCTCACAAGTATTTAAGGGGGTGGGGTCTGACAGCTTAGGGTGGTGAGTAATTTATATAAAACTTAATTATGTAAAATTAGTTGAAATGCCTTAGTTTTGTTTGATACATGACTAGTAAAAATCATCTTGCCATATTGTCGAAATGAAAACCTCAGAGTGGCCCATGAAATTGTTAATGTTTTTGTGAACCCAGCTAGTGTTGGCTGTTGAGTTAAACTCTCTAATCATTCAGCTTGTCAGGTACGAATTTGGCTTCTGGTCTACCTACACAAATGGGCAGCATTTCAGGTTTTCTGATGGCCTCATTGTCGGGACCTGTTAATGAATTCCAGAGCTCTCCCAAATCTCAGCCTTAATCCAGATCAGCTGGACCTCAGGCTGGAGCTGGAATGTGGGAGGAGGACAGTGCTCAAGCAAGGCATGGCTCTCACTGGATTCCACAGTTGGTTTGCCAAGGGGAGGATTGTTCCCATCTTGCGTGAGCTACCAGGCAGAGCTGGTGTCTTGGAGCTTTGATGTTTCTTTCACTGGAGCATTAACTGCCTTGAAAGGACTACCATCACACTAGCGATTTAGTGCTTGGCACAGCCCAGGGTCAAAGACTGGAGGTGCCTTGTGGTGGGTTTCAAAAGGCTTAGGATTAGAAGTGATGCCAAGTAGTTCTTACAAAAGAAAAGGACAAAGAAACTCCTGCCTGCAGCTGTGCCCTGCACGCAGGCCCTAGTGCTGGCTGCCGTCTCAGGTGTGGTAGGGTGCAGCAGAAGTGGAGTTTCTTGGATCTAGATGCCACATCAAGGACCTAAGAATTGTGGGTGCAAGGGAGCCCAATAGTGTCCCTGTCTGAGCCTCCAGGGAGTGAACGTCCTGTTCTCTGGGCATTTCTTTGTTCAGCTACTGCAGGTGGAGTAGGGGCAGCTGGAAGACCTCCCTTCCTGAGCCCTTCAATTTACCTTCTCCTCAGCTGCACGTTTCTGGTGTGATTTACATTACTCTGAGGAAATGCCTCTGAAAGGTCTCTGCTCTCAGATTGGCTGTTTATTCCCTGGTGCAGGAGGGAAAGGTGCTGCCTCCTCGCTCACCTGTTCTGCTCGCTTTCCCCCTTGGCTGGTCCCTTTTGCTGCAGCCACAGTTCACCCCCTCGGCCTCACGACTCAAGACATTTACCTGGTGAAGCTGTTTCCGTGCCCTGGGGCTGTTCTCAGAGCATTTCTGTGGAAACTCAACTCCTACTACACTAAAGAAAGCAAAAGTAAAAACAAAGAAAGTAAAAGTAAGGCCAACAAATTAAAAGTAAAGGAAGAGCAAGCAAAAGTTAAAGCAGAGCAGAGTAAAAGTAAAAAAGCAAAGTGAAAGTAAAAATCTGAGAAAAGGAAAAGTAAAAGTTAAAGCAAAGAAAGCAAAAGTGAGAGCAATTTAGAAATGAAACTAAAAAGGAGAGTACAGTCAAGGAGAAGCTAAAGTGTAAAAGTTAAAGCTTAGTGCTGTCCCATCAAAGCAAGCTCACAGCTGACCCTCCAGTGGGTAAGTATAAAGTAGAAGCAAAAGAAATGTTAAAGCAGAGTAAAAGGACATAAATTATTCCTTCAATTCAAAATTCTCCTTCAAATGTGAAAAAAAAACCCAACAAAACTCAGAAACCCCAAAATGAAAGTGAGACATCACCCTTCTCTGTTATCCTTGGTTGCCCCGTTTGTGGATTGGGATTGTTTGGTTCAATGGGACAGAGGCGGTGAGGCTCTCGGCTCTGTGTGTGTAAGGGAAGTCATATACCTGCTGGGCTCATGGTGATGTGGCATCGAGTTTCCATTTGTACCAAGGACGGTGAGATTTTTCAGAATTAAATATTGTGTTTGAGAAGACCATGTTGTTGTTGTTGTTGTTATGTGCCGT